ATTACTTCGTGGACCTGTGCATTATGGATGGATGTATCAGTATGAAAGGGCCATGAAAACTTTGAAAGGAAAAGCCAAAAACCTAGCAAGAGTTGAAGGTTCTATTGTTGCGGGAAGTTTGACGGAAGAAACATCACATTTCACATCGTACTACTTTGCACCGAAAGTACGTACAAGGAAACGAGCTCCAAGAAGATATAATGATGGTGGTGTCGTGCCAACATATATGGAAGACGATGTTCCAGACATCTTTTGTCAAATTGGGCGATTGGGTGGGAAATTGAAAGAGATTTGGTGGTCGAGTGATGAAGACGTCCATAGTGCACACCTTTATATTCTTCTTAATTGCGAGCATCCATTGATTGCTTATTTTGAAAGGTAAATATATAAATATACACAGTTATATATATATACATATATTTCAATATTAAATATATAACAAAACATATATGATTTTACAGCCAATTTGTGACTCAAGTCGAGGAAGCAATACCTGGTATATCGACACCTGAGTTAGAGAAAAGGAAAGATCAAGACTTTATCAAGTGGTTGAGGAAACATGTATTTATTATTACTTAAATTTTATGCATGCATTACCACAAATTAAGTCTAATATGTCTAGCTATATTACTTTTTGTTGCAGGTTGATTATGACGATCCTCAGTATCCCGCATGGTTTCGCGAATTACTCCAAGGTCCAGTTGCAAAGGTCACTACATCATCGATGTATTTCACCCAAGGCTATACTTTTCATACCTATGACTATGGTAGACACCGGGCGACAAGTAATTATGGAATATGTGTGAAAGGCGAAACAGATTTCTACGGGATCTTGCAAGAGATTTATGAAGTTCAATTCCCAGGTATGGGTTTGAAATGCGTTATCTTCAAGTGTGAGTGGTACGACCCCGTCGTCAACAGAGGTGTTCGGATTAACAAGAACGGTGTAGTTGACGTCAATGGTGGACGAAGGTACAACAAATTCTTTTTTGACATTTGTATATGCATGTTCTGAGAACTAATAATTTCTCCGTTGTNCTGAAGCAGAAATTGATGACATCCTACTCATTGATCCGCATAATCGTGAATACGAAGATGTCCCTGATCACTCAACGGACGACGTTGTTGAGGACGAGTTTGCCGAAAATGATGATGTTTCTACGGATTATGAGAATGTATCCGAATGAATTATGTATGTTTTATAAGTTTGTTTAATCACAAAAACCAATTTCAATTATGTATGTTTTATAAGTTTGCTTAATAACAAAAAAAGAGTTGAATTACGTATGTTTTTAAGCTTGTTTAATAAAAAAAATGAATTTGGGATTTATGTGTAGAAGAGGTTAGGAGTTTAGTTGTAGAATAGGTTATAAGTTAAGGAAGTTGTGGTTTGGGGTTTGGGGTTTCGAGTTTAGGGAATTACAAACCCTTTCCTCGTAAAGCCCTAGTAATAGAAAACACGGGCATAGCTATTTCCTCGTAAGCATTACCATGACTTTATGAGGAAAAAAACGCGGGCATAGCTATTTCTTCGTAAAGATTTTCCTCGTAAAGTCCTAGTGATATTATTTCTAGGACCTTACGAGGAA